TAGTTTTAATTGTTTAATTTTTATTATTTTTATTTTTATTATTTGATTAAAACTTTTTATTAAAATTCTTAACATGATAGCCGCATTGGTTTTAAAATTGTTATTCTTAACTTTGCCCATAAACTCGAAAAACGTTATTGAAGAATATCTGAAATTTGTCCTAGTTCAAACCCGTTCCGCGAGCCGTTGAATCTATTTCGTTCAACTTTAACCCATTCCTGTTTTCAAACTGGTATCGAAATTCTCAACTGTATCCAGAACATATATTTTAAGATATATTTCATTCTTTGATTTGACCTGGATGAGAAATAAAATCTTTTACAACAAAATTAGTAGCCTCTGGGATTAATGGAAGTTGTAAACTCGCAGCTTTGAGACATGTTTCGAAGGTCACATCTCCCATACAATTTCCTGTCTATGTTTTCACTCGACGAAGTGTGCTAAAACCCCGTTCAGCTTCGTTTGACCCAACACCATATGTTGGCAATATTTGATATAACAAATACCATTCTGGTGTTAGTTCACTTCCATGTGTCACTATTTCTTCCAGTATCTCATATATATTCGCTTTATCATCTTTAATATTTTTGACTAATGTTAAGAATACTGGCATTTGACTTTTTAGTTTAGTCATATGGATAAGTGAACGATCTGTTCTTTCGTATTTTTATTATCAACTGCAACATGTTTAACCTAGAACATTCAAGTATTAAACATGTATGTCATGAGCTTTAATGATCTTGCAAATAAGGCGGAAAGAGTTAATGATAGTGAGATATTAGCCCTTACCGGTGTAAGAAATAACAGCTAAAGAACTTGCGCTCATCCATTGTTTTCGGTGTACTTTTAATAAACACATCTCCGATTTGATTCATATCGAATTCATTCTGATCTTGTGATGGCGTCTGTAAACGAGTCAATTGACCTTCTGATGTTATACTGGATGAAAATTTTTTAACAGCGTTTAATGTTTCATTTAACGAATCATAACCCTAGTGAAAATACTCATACGATGAGTACGACTTTACTCAGAAACACCGAATATTTATATTATTATTTTCTCACTGATCTTTCTGTAGATAGTCAGATATAGACTTGTAGTCCTACTCTGGCTACCCGAGATCACTCCTCTATATGAAAATATCCAATGAACAATACTCATGAGTATTTTGCCAAAAATTGTATGAGTACTCAAAGTGGTACCCACAGTACTCGTTACCCTAGAGAAGAATTTTTTGCTAAAACTGATAGGATTCTTATAAGAATCTTATCAGTTTCTTATATAAGATTGTTTAAGATTTTCCATCGACAGTCGTAAGTGTCTTATAAGATTCTTATAAGAT